CAAATAAAGGTAGAGGCTATATACAAACTAATAAATATTAATATAAAACTACAGTAATTAAGATGGTAAACCTCATCTAGATCAATAGAATAAAACTGAAAGTTCAACAAATAGACTCACATAGTCATTTTTAATTTTCCCTAAAATAACAAAGGAATTCAAAAAGATCAAAATTTTAACAAATGGTACTGCAAAATTGGACAATAATATTAAAAACAATATGAACTTCAACCTTTACCTCATGCCACAATCAAAAAGGTACTTGAAATAGATCACAGTTACAAATTTAGGAGAGGGAATCAAAAACTTTCCAGTAGAAATATTTGAGAAAATCTTTGTATCTTTCAATTAGGGAAATATTCCCAAGATGAGATATATAAAGCTAAAAATCATCAAATAAAACTTTAATAAAATGGAAATCAAATGTTTTTTTTTATTTTGCTGTTTGGGAGGTATTATTAAGAAAATAAAAATATTAGAGACAGATAAAGAGAAAATTATTGCAGAACATACATGTGACAAAGGTTTTCTGTTCAGAATACATGAAGAACAATTGTAATTTAATAATAGAAAACTGGATCGGGGAAGTAGCTCAGTGGCACCATGCCTACCTGGAAAGTGCAAGGTTTTGAGTTCCAAAACAAAATAATAGAACAAAACAAAACATTAGAAAACCAAGTATCATTTTTTTTAAAAACCCGAAGTTTTAATGAGACATTTTGCAGAGGTTGCATTATGTCCTTCAGATCCTCTTAACTGGCTCTAAAGTATCATGCTTAGACTGTTCCCTCAAGAAGGCCTATATGTACATAGATATTGTAATTGGTTCTTAGAAAAATACAAATCATTAGTAGAATTAAGGAGTGATGCTTAATCTTACTAACAACCCAACATAATGTAGATAAAATAATGGAATAACATAGACCAATTTTAATGAGTAGGAGACTTTTTGATGTAACTTTACTTGATTTAAAGTTTTAATATAGGAAATAAGTATCTTTACACACTTCATAAATTTTAATTTCTATATATTTGAAAGTGGCAAAATAATTTAGAAGAGCAGTAGTGCATCACTAATTTCACAATACCACAATACTTGCTGACAGCGAAATAATGCAATCCAATTCTATATTCACCAAATTTTTTTTGTCTTCCCTTGAAACTGGCCAAAGCACATTGGCGCTGGACCCACAGTATTTAGGTGTATATAGGGACACACATAAAGCAAAAAGGCCAACAAAGAACTGCCTTTTCTATTTGTAATGTATTGGTTTGATGGAGCAATTAACTTGTGTGATAACTCATAATTTATGTTTCATATAATCATTATCTCCAAAAAGATTAGTGACTTTTAGAGCATATTGCAATATTACAAAGCATATGGGTAGGAATAAACTCTGAGGAAGAAGCCTGTATTATGTCTTTGTTCTTTTCCAAATCACTCAGTTGGTACATCCATGGAATACACACTGTGAGTGAAATTTGATGTCGACTGAATGGCTAAAACCTAATTAACTTAATGCTTACAACTTAATATTTAAACTATGAAAAAGAGCAACATATAATTCTTATTTCAATAATATATGTATATGGATATGTAAGATAAAATTATGTTCTTGGAAAGTTAGACCGAAGCAATTAGCACAATTTAAACGTTATTATGAGTGTAACAGGTACATAAAAATTAGGTTAAGTCTTAAAAATAATCCCTTTTGCTTACAGGCTTTCATCATGGTGTTTTGGCTCATTACTGTCAGAAAACGAAGAGTAAGATGTGGGAGGGTGAGATTGTGATTAGAAAAGATTCAATAGCTTTTCATGGGCATTTGCTTCTAGTGAGGCATCCTTTCTCATGAGGGCTTTGCAATTTAGTTCAGATTGTCTGTGTCCAAATTGCGAGGACGCTGAGCATTGTTAGAAGAATGACAGATTAAATAGATAACTGAACAGCAAGCAAGTCAGAATCTATCCATCTGCCATCTTAAAACAAAACCCAATAACTTGATCTAAAAATTTCAGCGAAACGCAGATGTAGCTAACATCACGCTACCATTGACTCTCTGAATCATAGTTCATGGAAGAGCAGTAATAGCTTTTTGAGCTAAATGCTAAACATCTGGAATGGTATTTATTGTTTCACTGAAACACAAAATTAGAATTTTAAGTTTATTGATCAAGTTGACATTGATAAATGAACGACAGGGAACTCTGAAAGGTAAAGATTACACATGACACTAAACATTAATGCTGTTGGAAGAGATAGGCTCACTGAAAAAAACCAGTGTATCCTTTGTTTTATCCATTTAATCCTTACTAAATAAAGACCTCACAGATTATTCTAAATCATTTCTGCAGTTATTCACATGCTGGCATTTATTTAAACACGACTACAAAAGGGGCTGGTGTAAACAGAAAGTTCAGTGTTAATAAGTCCACCATGTGTCACATAGTTGAAACATTTTTCAAAATTTATATTTTATACTTTTTCTGAAGAGGTATATTTATCTTTATCCTTAATTACAAAATTGAATTCTTTTCTCACTTAACCATCTAAGATCACAATGTGGTTGGGTATTGAATTTACTGAATTTAGACCTATCTTATTCTAGAGACCATGTTTTTTTTTTTTCCATTTTCATGAGTTGTGCTGTAAGAAATGGGATTAGAAGAATCTACAGGTGGAAACTCATCTTCTCTGATGATATGTATCCCTTAGCTAAAGTTGGACTTTGAATATCTGAAATGTGCTCCGTAACCCTTCCATCTTTCATAAAAAACTTTCATAGAAAATACTGCTGAATATGTGAAAAGTTAAAAGTTCTGGTTAGTGTAGCACTGTGATAGGAGGGTATGTAAACGATCTATTTATACTAAGATATGTCCTCTCTCAAATGTTCTAGTACCTGAAATCCTAATTAATAATTTTTTTTAAATATTAGGAAATATGACATATACTCTTGGATGAAGCAGTACTACAGTATTTAAGTAGAACAAATCAAAGATTTATTGACCTCAAGTAGAATAAGATGCTGATGACATAAGAAAAATCAGGCCTTCCACAACGGCTGAGTTTTATTACTAAAACTCTCTCAGGTCTGACTCTAATGAGCACAAAAGAAGACAAAATGTACTGTTTGGTGTCAGATATAATTGTTTCAGAATTAGCTTTGTAACATACTAGCTCTGAGGCTTTTGCTATATTTTATTTTTCACATGCATTAAAATGTATCACATTATTGTTATTTTATTTATGTAGCCCATTTTCTTTTTCATATTTAAATATTAAGAAAAATTATATTTACTTATGTAATTACTATTTCTGGAACATTTTCTTCTTTTGTATACCAGACATTTTTAATATGTCTTTAATGTCATCTAATTTTGTCTATGACATTGTACGTTTCATCACTAAAAGTTTGTCTTAATGTTTTACATCCCTGATAATTTTTAAGAGCATGACACATTTTAAAAGTTCATAAACTTGTATTTTTTGCATAAAATTATTCAATTTTCTCAACTTAATTTTAGAACATTTTACTTTATACCCTTAAAAGAAACCTGACATCTGTTTATAGTCCCTTTTCATACTCTACCAATGTCTTCCCCAGCCTTCCCCTCCTACCTTTGGCTAGTGATAGTTTAATTAATTATATAATAATAACACATTTTCCCAATCTAGAAATTTCATATAGTTATAAAACCTGTTCTTTGGCAGCTGGTTTCTTTTACTTAGTTGCCATAGTTTCAGTATTTATCCCTATTTTTATTAGAATCCCTTTCTTTGTTATTGCTGAATAGTACTCCATTGAAGGAATGTACACTTTTTAGTTAAACGGATTATTATGGGTTTGTTCTGCTTTTAGATCTCCTCAATAATGGCGCCACGGACACTTGTTACTATGTTTCTTTGGTTTGGGATATATACCTAGGAATGAAAGTGATTAATATAGCAACTCTACGTTTAACATTTAAGAAACTGGTAAATAGTTTTCCAAAATTGATGTACACCGTTTTATAGATCCCACTGGCAACAGGAGTGGTCCCTTGTCTTTATCCTTATAACCACCCATGGTCTTTCTCATTATATTGCTGCTTATCTTTTTCAACCTACGGGATATAGTTATTAACAACTGTTTTAATGTCCTCGTCTGTAGATTCTAATACCTATTTAGGTTCTCATCAGCATCTAATTTTTCTGCTGAGTGTTTTTTCATTTAAGCAACCTTTGTATTTAATTGAAAGTCAGAAACTGAAAATTGTATTTTATTAATTCGTGATTTTTTCTCTCTGTGAATTTGGTGTCACCTATTTAAGTGACTTTAAATTGATCCTTTTGGATCTTGTTTTTAATGTATTAGGCGATCCTAAAGCATCAGGCCAGGGCTAATTACTGTGAGATTAAATTTCCATTTTGGGACTTTTTCTCAGACAGGCGGCTAAGGGTCTTAGCTGAATATGAAAAACAACAACAAAGAAAACAAAAACGAAAACTGCAAAACTGAGTTTTCTCTCTGATCAGCCGTCTCCTGTCTCCTACACTCAGCAGAGAATACTGCCATCCCAGGATTCCAACTTTATCTCGTCACCGGAAGTATTACGTTGGGCACTGCTTGGATTTTCTCTCCCTAGATCACATCTTTTAAAAATCTTCAATATCAATATGCCTCTTATTTCTCGAAGATCAGTATTCTTTCCCACCCTGAAAGCCGCGGCTTGCTTTCTACTGCGGTAGTAGTAAATATTTTTAATGAAGTGTGAATGCTATTTCCTCTGAAATTAGAACTTAAGGCCTTCTTTTCCCTTTTATTCAATTAATGAGAAAAACCGAAGAGCTGCCTGAGCCGGACAGAGGTCACTTCTTTCTTCGGGTTCACAGCACAGCCTCGGAAATGCAGCGTACAATTATGGGCGCCCGCCACACCCTTCAACAACTGCGCCTGCGTCAAGAGCGCGAGGTGAATCGGCAACTGCCAATGAAAGTGCAGGATGTTCCTTAATTCCCGCCCTCTGACCCAGCGGCCAATCTCCTGCCCTGGCGCGAAGGTTAGGGCGAATCCAAAACAGAAAGTACCCGAGAGAGGCGCCGAGATGGAGGCGGCAGAGACCGAAGCTGAGGCGGTAGCCAGACAGTAAGTGTTCGCCACCGTTTGGCAGCTGGGAGCCGGCCGTGGGAGGATTTTATACTCCCCAAACATGTGATGGTTGTCCTTTCGACCCTGTACAGCTTTCGACCCCATCGTTAATTGGTTCTGATCCCAGTTTCTGAGGTGACTCTGGTCTCGCTCCCGGAGTAGCCTCCGAAAGACTGCAGGTTAATACCTCCTACAGTCACTGCATTCTCCCTAGGCGTTTGTCCTGGAAAGGGACAGTTCCCTCCCTGTCTGTCCACATCGCCACTCCATTCTCCTTCCGCTTCAAAGAGTCATCCCAAAAGGGCCTTTTAAAATTTCAGTCTGTCCCTACCAACACAACCTTTTCCAGTAGAGTCTGTTATTCCCATCCTCGGTCCGTTGTAGATTGCTCCGGTCTCTAACAAGGAAAAATCTGGAGACGCAAGACCAAGGCATTCTGCCCTCTGCCCTCCTTAGATATTTTAAGACCAGCCCCAGAACTAGTGCTTCCTGCCAGAAAGGTTCCCAGGGTTCAACAGTATTTCGCTCTTATTTTTCTCTTACCGAGAACATCTCCCTGCCTGCTTTCAGATCTTGATTCATGCAGTTTATTCAGTGAGACATTCCCTATTAAAATCAAAGCCCCTCCGTTATTCCTCCTCAGCTGATTTTCCTCATGGTGTTTAATGAGCACGTCACATGCACAAAGTCTCAGTCCTATGCTGTAGGGTTCTCAAGCCTTTTGTGTAGGTTTGCTCAGGGTGATACTCTTGACATCCATACACTCATCTTATGTGGATGTGCTCCCCAGGAGTCTTCAGTCTCCTTTGTTTCCTTGCCCCTCCAGGGTCCTGGCTGAGGTGGCAAACGTTATAGAGCCTGTAGGTCTACAGGAGGAAGCGGAGTTGCCAGCGGAGATCCTGGCTGAGTTTGTGAGGGTAAGTACAAGAGGGGATCTGGCTCTTCAGGAGTGAGGGGGTGGTCTTGGGACCTCTTCCGGAGATGGAAGACAACAATGATGGAGAACAAAGTAAAGGCGATCTTATTGGCCAGTAGTACAAGGAGGTGAGAATATCCCTACGTTTTCCCTTCTTTTGAATAGAACTCTCGGAAGAAAGACAAGCTCCTCTGCAGCCAACTTCAAGTAGTAGACTTTTTACAGAATTTCCTGGCTCAAGATGAAACTGCCCAGGGCCTGGACCCCTTGGCTTCCGAAGACACAAGTCGTGAGTAGGCAGGGAGTTGAGAATGAGGCTGACCTAACTGGACAGGGAAGGAGGATGTGAGTTGGGCCTTCTTTGTGACTGTTGGGAAGAAGGCCCAGCGTTTCAGGGAGACAGCTACAGCACAACCTCACTCATGCTTTCGTTTCTCATGGTTCATTGTAGGGCAGAAGGCAATTGCAGCCAAGGAACAATGGAAAGAGCTTAAGGCCACGTACCAGGAACATGTGGAGGCCATAAGAAGTGCCCTGACTGAGGCCCTTCCCCAAGTGGAAGAGGCCCAAAGGAAGCATGTGCAACTCCAGGGGGCCATTGAGCAGCTCCGGGCCAAGGTACACCTAGGAAACTTTAGAGAGGGAAAAAGGAAAAGATAGGCTGAATGGGACACCCTTGCTATCTCAAAAAAATTAAATGAAAAAATAAGCTAACTTTCTTCCTGTCCCTCTCCCTTCTAATTGCAGAAACAAGTGGCCATGGAGAAATTCAAAGTAGCCCAAAAGCAGTGGCAATTGCAACAGGTGGGTTTTTCCTTTTCTCTAGACTTCTATTCCTACCTGAACTGACCAGGTGCCCCCTTTCCATCAGTTAATCTGAATCCCCAGCAAAGTCTAGCTTGGAGGAGTTGAGGGAGAGTGGCTTTAAGATGTCAGCATTTGATGAATCCTATGTGCATTCCTTCCTCATAGGAAAAGCATCTGCAGAGTCTGGCGAAGGTTTCTGCACAGGTGAAGGAGCGTCAGACTGGAACTCAGCAGGAGCTTCAGCGTTTGTATCAAGAACTTGAAGCTCTGAAACATCAGGCAGTACAGGAGCAAGATAAATTGCAAAGGTGAGGCTGAGAGCATAGTTTAAGACTCAGGTTGTCTATCTGAGATTCCCTCCCTTCACATTTCCTTCCTCTTTTCAGGCACCAGAACTTCCTTCAACTGCTATATACCCTGCAGGGGAAGCAGCTGCTTCCCGAGGATGAGGGCCATGTTATCCCAGGAGCTGCCTCTCTACCTGGATCTCCCTAAGGGTAAGCTCCAACGGCTAACCCAGAACACTGAGGAAATCATGGAGAGAGGCTGAATAGGAGATGTGTTAGACAGGCAGGCAGGTGGAGAGAGAAGTGGGGGACTTGACCTCAACCCACTGTCACACTGTATTTCTCCAAGACCAAACATCCACAACTCATGGTAGACATGAACTTGCCATGGTTTCCTGGAGGAAAATAGCATGGACAGGAAGGATCCTAGGGTAGGTCTGATCTCAACCAGGGCTTTGCTGTCCCTAAAATACAGATGTTGGAGGTAAGAGAAGACCTCTGGTCTACTTCTCTCTGCATCTGAGCTCTTCTGCCCATTGAGCAGTTGGGAGCTGGAAGGACGAAAACCCTTATATTGTGATGAATGTTCATTTCGCATGCCTACGCCAGGTGCACCAAGACTCACCCCTCTTCCTCTTTCCCAGCAGAAAAGGATTGTGAAATCTGGAGTACAGCTTGATTTCTGACCTTGACCGAGGTTGAGGGAGTCTCTGGAGTCTCAATTAAAAGCCCTGGTTCTCTGTTACCTGTTTGTTCATTTTTATGTGTTGGTAGAACGGACCAAAGATGCACAAAAGCCAATAAAATGTCAGGAACTGGAACTGGTGTTATTGGAGACCATGAAGATAGCCAGGGGTTTCAGGAATTGCTTTGCCAATTCCATATGTGGCAAACATATTTGAGTTTAATTTTGATAAAATGCATGTAAGAAGATAATTGTGCTTGCTGATCCAAGTGTTTGTTGAGTCTTTGCTTTGTGCTGAATTAGAACTGCACCAGTGAGCCTAATTCTATTTTAAGATGACCTAATGGCATATACCTGATACCTTTTGTGTTATCTAATACTTTATTTGATCACTCTTTTCAGGTGTTCATTCATTTTAGATTCAAAGATGGCTTTTGTGATCCAGTTATATGTTGTTTTATTGATTTCTAGTGATATATTGATCATTTCTTCCTGTCTAAGTATGAGTGGGAAAGTACTATTTTTATCCGTTCTGATTTTTATAAGATAATAATCTTTTATATTTGGACCTTTGTTTTCTCAAAGAAACAAGGTTATACATTTCTCAACTTCCTCTAAGTATTTTCAGTCATTCAATTCATGGCATTTTCTATGTGTTATACTTCTTTGATTCATGAGTTTCTTTTAAGAAACAATTTTAAAGTTTTCTGCTGTATATTTGTGGGAAGATAATGTTTCTGAGTTTAATTTGGTTAGAGAATATTCTCTATATAATGAAAACTTTTATAGAAGTTTTTGTATTTTCTTTAAACGTACAAGTTTAACTAGGGAAGCAATTATAGTCTTGATATGGCCTTTATCCTTTTTACCTGGGTCTGGAGACAATGTGTATTTTACAATTGTGTGTAATATTTTTCTGTATATGTCATAGATTGTTTTTTTTTTCTTTTTTCTTTTGTGTTCTGTTATTTTTTATGATGTGAGTAGTACCTCCTGAGAGGGCTGTGTTCAAGTCTTTAGTTGTTACAGTGGATTAGTTTTATTCTCTGTTTTTCTAAGTTGGCTTCACAGCTGCTTTAAGAAAGTATATATATGCGTGGGGGGGTTGCATTTGTAACATTTACTGATGTGAGGTTGCCTTCCTCATCTTTGGGCTACTGCTTTTAGACTTGAAATCTAAATATTAGTATAATTTTCCCAACTCTTTTTCCCCTTTTTCTAGCATATATTTCCCTTGAATTTTAATGTCTTTTGAATTTCTTTTTTCTTAGGGTTATCATTGTATGTGGCATTTTTTAAAATCAGGTTTTCTAGTATTTGTCTTTAAGATTTTATTTTTTTGTCTGTTTTTCAAGGTTTCTTCTCAATTTTTTGTCTTCTTTCTTTTTTTAAATTTTCCTTGTTTAAAAGCTCTTCTCTGATAGATTATCTTTAGTTCTGGTAGTTAACAGTCTGAAGTTAAGTGTAAGCAATAGTGATTATCTTTATTTAAACAAATGAAACATAAAAGACATTACCATTGATAGATCATCCTACTGCTAATTAATAAGATTTTTGTCAAGTTTATTGTTTCTAGCTTGTTTGTGGTCTACAAATTGCAGAGACTGTTTTATTTAGTCAAGCTTTAGATTTATTCATTTGTTTACTATTTTGCCTACCTTTTTACATTTAAGACCTTTCCTATGAAATAACTTAATCATATGAAATACATAGCTCAGAATTTCCTTTAATTAGGATCTGTAGGCTGTATAATATTTTAGCTTTTTTTAGTATAAAATATTTTAGTTTCATATTCATAAAAATACTTCATTGATGATTTTCAGATGATTTTCAACATGAACTTTTTCTTAACACATTTAAGATATTTTCTCATAGTTTTCCTGCTTTCATTTTTGCCGATAAGAAAATAGCAATCAGTTTAAAGTTCACTCTATGATAGTTGCTTTCCCACTGGCTACTTATAAAATCCTCAACATGTGTTACTTGTAGTCCATTTGGTTTTCTAATCTGCAGTTATGAGTCTTTCAACAGTTCTGGAATATTTTAAGCTTTATGCCTGTCAAAAATACCACTTTTATTATCATGACACCATTCTATGACACCATTTGGGCTTAAATTTTCTTTTTTCTTTGTGTCTTATAAACATTTTTATAATAACTTTTTTCTCAGATTTCATTCTGATCTCTTTACGTATTTTTTGACTTATATGTAGCTAATGTGTTATTTAGTCATCAGTTTCTTAATTTTCAATTTTTATTTTTAATATTAGAAAGTTATATTATTAGATCCCAGTCTACTATTTTTGGATTTTTATTTTTATTATTTGTTTTTTATTCTAGCTTATGGCTCATATTTTATCTCTTTTTTTTTTTTAACTTTAAACATAATACATGTAGATATTTTGTCATCTTTGTTGGAAAGTTTGATAATTTATGACTTTGTGACTTATATTGCATCATCCCAAATAATTTGTATGATTTATGCTGTCCTGGTATAAACTGCCTTTTTTCCCTGAACTTTATCTTTGTGGATTCTTTGTGGCTTGGAATAAAATTGAGAAAATGAATATTTACTTCTTTCATTATTGTAACATTTATAAATGTTTAAAATATATTTTAATATTCTTTATATCATTGTGCTGTTCCATTTTTCATTCCTACTGCCTATTTTCTGTCTTTCTCATTAATATTTTCCAAAAGCATAATCTTTGGATTCTATTGCACTTGTTTTACAATTTTTTCATTTTTATTATTTTACTGATATTTTTAATTCTTACTTTTATTGTCTTTATAACCTTTCATTTGGTTAATTTTTAATATTTAAGTAAATCAGTATTTTAACAATGTATGTATTTCCTTTGCTAAAAAAACACATTTGAGTACATGTATTTATATTTGATATCCACTCTGAGAATATCTCATATAGCCTGTTATTTTTCAATAAATTGTAGGTTTTAAGGAAGGTTTCTCTATTGCTTTTACATCTCAAATTAATTACAATAGTATTTTTTTCCTAAATGAATTTAAAATAATTTTCTGTTATTTTTAAGTACTCAAAATTTTGTGTTGTAAAAGGATATATCTTTATTTAATTCTATTTGCATCAAATAATGACATCTATGGTTTGTTTGTTAAAATGTGTTATATATATGGATTTATGGATTTATGGTTTTTATATATGTATATGTGATCATATGCCAGTGGTGGCAAACCTATGGCATGAGTGTTATATTGTGTTTTTCTTTTAAGACAAAAGACGTTTATGTAGAATTGTTTTTTCTAAACTAAAACCTCAGTATTCAGGTTTAATTGCAGTGTTGGCACTCAGTGTCTAAAAGGTTCACCATCACTGTCATATGCTCTTTAAAATAAGAGATTTTATCATTTCCTGTCATTCAGTCTACTATATCAAGGAAAATCCTTATAGAGGAAAAATACAAAAATATTTATTGAAAATTTAATTGACAAAAATGAGAACACAATACATACTGTACTGGCATAAGAGGTATTCCAAATTTTTATATTGCGATTTAGAGTTTGTATGACATTTTTACAAAAGTAAAACCCAAAAAGTATAAGTAAAATATATAACGACTTCTTACATTTATCTTTTCCAAATTATTTTTTTCATAGATCAAACATAGAAAATCCACACTCAAGCCTTCCACTCTGATACAGTAAGTCCAAACAATTGGTAGGAGTAGACTTAAAGAAAATAAGAAAGATAAAGTTGTTCAGAATATCATCTTATAGTTTTTCTTAAGTGCCCATATTTATGTGACTTATTCCTGTTAGGGAAATATGAGATATGATCAAAAAATATAGTGACTGATTAAAAATTTTTTAAAATTTATTGTAGTAAAGGACAGCTGCCACTATCCCTTTCAAAATATTCCCACTTGGTTAAAACACACTATTCCCATTATTCTTACTGCTTTCTGAAGGTAGTTGTAAAGATCCTCTTTAATAAATGTGTAGTTGAGCTATTATTTCTGCCTCTGTGTTCTGAATCAGTTCTAAACATTTAACTTCCATGGACATTTTGACTTTGGGAAAGGGCCAGAACTCACATGGTGTCGGATCCAGTGAATAAGCTGAATGAGGACATGCCATAATGTTTATATAAGCCAGCCTTGGGTGGCTCTCAGCAACAGTACTCACCGTATTTTTGATCATACATAATAAAAACACGTGAGAGAACTTCTAGAATTCCTTTGGAAAGTGGCAAGAGTAGTGAGATAAGACCATTCAAAGGGAAAAGGAGTTTTTTGACGGGAAGTAATGGCAACATACCTTTTACTGTAACACACTTTTAAAATTTTAACAACCATATTTTTTGTGATCACCCCTTACAGTGTTACCATCCTGTATAGTTAAAGCAAAACTAATCCCTCTCATTTAACTGTGCACCTTTAAAAGTTGTCAAAGGCTTTACTCCTAATAGTCTACTCTTACCATTAGTATTCTTTTTGATAAATGTTATTTTATGCTTCTTTTTATTTCTTACAGCAATAAGCTTACACTTTTTGTAGCCGTATTGATAAATGAAGGTCTTATCTTAAAAATAAATTCCGTTTTTTCCCCTTGTCACTAGAACGTATATATGTAAAATAAGTTGTATATATTATTGAGATTTTATTACTTTCAGATCTTTGTTCTCCAAAAAGGGAGTAAAACATGTATGTGTACCTCATATAGTATTAACAGTCACCACACCTGAGAAGGTCTGTTAACTTTGAAAATAGAACAACTGCCTAGTTTCACACAATATTTATTTTTTCCATTTTAGAGTCTTTCTTCAGTTCATAACTTTTATAGAATGAATGTAATTTGCATTAAAATGTTTGCGTTCCCTCCTTAAGCCTCTTTGGTTATGTTCTTTACACATAAGTTTTGAAATACTAGTAGAGTGTGAAATTAAATAAATTGATTTCATTCATTATTATTCCCAGCTCAGTCTTCAAATTACCCTTTTGATACTTAGAATATTGGGTTCTGAGAAACTTGGTGTTTTGATTTGTAATCCATTAATTAACAAGCAGGCTTCACCAAAACACTTTGTTCTTGAAACTAAAGAACCTAGGCATTAATTCTGGAATCAACATCTTTTATGTCTGTTTTGAGGTCTTTTTAAACTGTCATTTTTGAAGGGTGTATATTCTCCTACTGTTTTTAGAATTGAATTTATAACCATTAAAAAAGTTATTTAAAAATTTAAACTTCCTGGACCTTTACAATATATAAAGATTAGAGTGAAAACATGCTTTATAAGTAAGCACTAAACAATAACTTATACTTTCTGTGTGTGTTAGAGGGAAAATACTTCTCTTTGGGGAGATAGTCCTGTCCAGTCTTTATTCATGTAAGATCTAGATTACCCTGAGCATATATTCTAAAATAATAGAGTAATCTTAGATACTTTAGTGAAATATAGAATTACCTCTGGTTGTTTCATCTGGCTACTCCCTGAAAATAATAGATTGCTGGGGAAAGTGTTTCAAGCTTGAAAACTGCTTTAGTGGTAACTTTAATGTCATTCTTGCAGTATGCTGTTTTCAAAAAGAAAAAGAAAGGAAAGGAATAGTAACTTTAGTACAAAAATATAACCATAAAAATGTGCATGTATTTGTGGTATATTAAAATATTTTTTGTTAGCAAAATGTTCTTCAATATCACCTTGTAAAATTAGGTTAAAAACTGTTGGATAATGTGTTTTTTCTAACTAGGTATATAGAATAGCAAATATGTATTCTACACTGTTAAGTCAGTTGTCTTCTCTCTTCCTAATTTATTTTGCTTTATTTTTTAAGGAGGCATTTATTTCCGTTATGAGGACACCTAGAAGCTACAGGAATCTCATCTGACTGTTTTGGGATACTAATTGCTATCAACAGTTTGCTGTTTTGTTTTTGGTACTGGGGGTTGAACCTCGGGTCCTTGCGCTTGCAAGGCAGGCCACTGAACCGCTGAGCTAAATCCCCGGCCCGTTTGCTGTATTTTTAGTTGAGTTTCCTGTTTATTTGTAAAGAAGCCAAAGGACAGCCTGATTCATTTTTAAGTGTGTGAAGAGCAGCATTCATATTCCATGTCTTATAATTTAAGAGATATTTGTGTTTAGGATCTTTTTTTAATGTAACAATATTAAAATTTTGTGAGAACATGGATTTGTTTATTTGGTGTTTTTAAAAGTCTATGTAATATTTTCTACATGGCTAGATATTAGATATAATTTTATATAATATAAACAAATGGAAAATTTCAACATGTACATCACTGTCTTCACAGAAGTACATATGTTTGGTCAGAAATCTGGATAAAGTATCTCCATCCTTGTAACATCTTTCAAAGGTTTCCATAAAATTTCCTATTTTAATCCGTAGTCCTTTAATCCTTAGAAATATATAATTCCTATAATTCATTGTATAGATACAACATCCCTCTTAGATTGGCCCAATATCTCATTCATTTTACTCTTCCTGTACTATTAAATAAAAACCTAATTGCTAATATTTCTTTCACTACATTGAGCACTGGTTTCTTCCTTCTTTAGTGATCATTTTTGTTAAAAAGTGGGCTATAAGAAAACAAAGTAAAAAATGAGCTTGCTAATTCTCTTTATCATTTAACCTATAATATCTTCAGTATATCTGGCATAAGAAGAGTTCTTTGAAGGTAACCAGAGGTTCTTTGAAGATGGGTTCCCTTCATGAAATGACTCTTCAAACATGCGCTTGAACTTCATGGACAAATAGATTGAAATTCTTAGAGAAGAAAGCTAACTACTTATAGTCTAATCAAGTGAAGTATCCTTTATCTTTGATCACAAATAACGAGTATCTGTGAGGGTTTTATAATTTGAGCTTAGATGAAAGGCTGCAATACATTGTGCCAAATTCTGATTAGTTTTGACACCTATGGTCTAAATTCTGTGTAAACATATTACCATTGTATAACAGCCCTAAGCAACTCATAATGACATAAGTGAAAGACGCCCCACGTACATGAGTCCATTTAGCCACCACTAATTGATAAGACATCCAATTAAAATATCTTTACCTCCTAAGATATATTAAAATCAATAAGATATTCCATATAGAAGAACCTAGATCCAGAAAATAATTAGAAATGGTAGAATGTGACAACATTTGTTTTATCAGGGAGTTATAGCGTATTCTGAGCAAAAATAATAGTTTATACATGATAATGCTTCCTGGTACTTCAAATAATATGGCTGAAAAAGATGTACTGTATGTCTGTATGAATGAATGGAAACTGCATTGATTGAGAACTGTGGATTGACTGGATTGATGGACAAATTAGGGCAAATAATGTCCTAAGAAGTTTGAGGATTATGACAGGTGCTTTGTGTGTGTGCATCTTTTGAGATGATCAGTTGTTTTTTGTCCTTGGATCTGTTAATGTAGTGTATTATTATTATTGATGTATGTATGTTGAAGCATTCCTGCATCCCTGTGTTGAATCCTTGACCTAAGTCTATAATCTTGATTATTTGCTTTGTTCTGTTTGCCAGTATCTTATTGAGGATTTTTACATATATATTAATCAGGGAGATAAACCTACAGATTTCTTTTTAGGTTGGATCCTTCTCTGGTTTGGGAATCAAGGTATTGATTGCTTCCAAGAATGAATTTGGGAGTGTTGCTTCCCTTCCAATTTCATTAAAGAGTTCGAAAAGTAGTGGAATTTGGTCTTCTCTAAATTTCTTGTAGAATTCAGCTGTGAATCCTTCAGGGCCAAGGCTTTTCTTGGTAGGTTTTTGAATTACATCTTCAATTTCATTGACTAATATCAGTTTATGTAGAATTCTTACATCTATTTAATTCAGCTTTGGTAATTTGCATGCATCTGGGAATCTGTCCATTCTGTGTTTTCCATCTTAATACACTAAAGTTTCTTCTGGATTTCTGCAGGATCTGTTGTGAGTTCACCATTTTCATTCTTAAGCTTTTGCACAGCAAGAAAAACCATCAGTAGAGTAAACAGCTCATCATCTAGGAAAAAATTTTTTACCAGCTGTTGCTCATAAAAGGACTGCTATCTAGAATATACAAATAACTCAAAAAAATTAGATCCCTCCCAAATGTAAAGACCCAATCCAAAAGTGGGCATTTAAAATGAATATATATATCTCAGATGGAAAAGTAGAAAAAACAAATAAATATAAGGAAAGATGTTCAATAGCACAGGTCACTCATGAGATGCTAGTTAAAACAACAATGAGATTCCATCTCATTCCAGAAAGAATGGTTATTATCAAGAAGTCAAACAATAGCAAATACTGGTGGGGGTGTGGGGAGAAAGGAACCCTTCTCCACTGTTGGTGGAAGTGTAGACTGGCACAACCACTGTGGAAATCACTGTGGAGATTCCTCAGAAAACTAAAAGAAGTTGCATTTGACCCAGCTATTTCCCTGCTGGATGTCTTGCTGAAAGAATTAAAGGATAGTCCCACAATGATACATAAATACCCATGTTAATAGAGACACAGTTTGTAATAGCTAAATCTTGGACACAGTCCAAATGCACATCAACCAATGAATGGTTAGAGAAAATGTTTTTTTTTTTATACAATGGAATACTACTGAGCCAAAAAGAAATATAAACTTGAGACATTTATAGCTAACTGGATGCACTTTGAGACCATAGTCTTAAGTGAAATAAATCAGACATATATGTGTACATACCACATTGTCTCTGGTGTGAGAAGCTAAAACTGTAAATGAAAACCTAATGTATAAAAGATGTTGTGAATAGGAGGAAAAACACTCAAATAGGTAGGGGAACTTGGGTTAGGGTGAGGAAAAGGAAGGAGGGGGAAAATGAGAAAAGGAAAAACGGAAACAAAGCTTTTGTAAATGAGAGGAAGAGGGGTTGAAGAGATGGGAGGAAAATGGGAAAAAAATAAGAATCAAGATATATCATGTGCAGGTACAAATTTCCTGTGATGAATGTTATCATTATATATACCTAAAATGTACCAATATACTTAATTAACTTAAAAATATTGATGATCGGAGGCAAACACAAAGATGTTGAAACTGTGGTTAAACTTTTAAATATTTGAATTATTAATATTGATTTGTTGCCCAGTTCATTACTGTTTCAGCAAAAGAAATACACATCTTGTCAATTTATAGTTTTTAAATAGATTAATACTTATAGATATTTAACATCTTTATACTTTCAAAATTAGGTATTATGATTGTCATTTGTAGATGAAATAACCGAGGGTCAGGTGGTTTGCCTAAGAAAAACAGTTCCAGCAATTGCTATTATTCACATTAAATGCAATTTTTTCTTCATATCATTTGCCAACATATTTAGATTTTTGTATAAGGCCACCAGAATCAAAATAAATATGTTACCTCAAAAGACAATATCATCGATCCTGTAATTTTTAAAAATTTAATGTGCAATGAGTCATAGATGGTTTCCTAAAATGCAGCCTTTAGTATCTCCCTGGGAGATTAACATTATCAGTTCCTGGATCAAATTTTGAAAAGTTTATCAAACATTTCAGGTGATTCTGATGCACTAGATTTTAGGACCATTTTTTTGTGAGGAACACTGGAATGTTTCACATTGAGATTTTGGCATTATTAAATCACTGGAAGGTTTTTAAAACTGGAGTAAGATATACATTATGAAAAGTTTTGGATGAAGAAAGAAGTTTAGAGTACTGGTTTAGGAAGAACTTGGTGTGATGTAATCATGGAAGAAGTATGTTCTGGCAGAAGTCAGGTTAAAGATGTGCAGCCCAGTTTTGATTCATGGGTTCATATCTGACTTGTATTTTAAGAGAATATACAGCTGCTAAGAAAAGGTTATGTGGCAAAGGAGCATAGTCACTTGAATTAGGAATATATATCTATATGATATACATATCTATATGATATACATATATATGATATATATGATATACATAGATATATATATGATACATATATATGATATATATGATATACATAGATATATATGATACATATATATGATATATACATATATATATAGATATATATCTATATATATGAAAAGGTATGCTTCTCCACAATTCCTGACATGTATCTATCCATATAAATATTGTATTGTTACTGTGAACTAAAAGTCTGCTAGGTCCCTGATTTGACAGAATCTATATAGGCAGGGCCTTGATATGCTATAACACTTCTCATGACATCTGGTTACATATCTAAAGTAATAAGTGCTATTCGGATAAAAGAACTGACAGGAAGAAACAGAATAGAATCTTCCCTCAAAAAAAGCCTAGGACAACCTCAGACTGTGAGTGTCAAGCCTGTCTCTCATCATTTTCTAGCAATATCCTTCTCTTGGTTGATGGCGGTAGAATGTGATGGGTCTGTGATGAGTCTGTGATCAAGTAAATCTTTTCTTGACCTTGATGTTCAAGGTTTACTGAGGGAGGCTGGAGAGAAATGCAAACAGACAGACATTTCGTTAAGAATCTGTTGGGGAGAGAGCCTGCTGAACTTCTACGTGGACGTCATCTCCCACATCTGTACTCATCAGCATCGAGACAGCTGGTCTCGTTGGTGTATCAGACACCTCAAGGTATATTTGTCCTTGATACTGAACTGTTGCAATACTGAGGATTAAAAATTCTAGAATCTTGGGATTTAAGGGCTGGGAAGTATCTTAAAGATTATCTTATTTAATAAATTTTTAAAAATGAATGTCACAGTAAATGTCAAAGGTAATTTTCCTCATAACTAGTTTACACCTTTGGTGGCAGAGGTGCCCTTTCCTAATTAGAGTCAATCAAGTATTGGAAAGATTTAATCAAACAAAAATCATAGAGATGAAGATTTGGGGATAAATTCCATCTTTAGCAGTGTGATGCATAATTATTTCTGTAGCATTGTTATTCTCAGCTTTGAGAAGAGCAACCTCCATGCCTCTGATTTGTTCAGGTGTCTAAAAACGCAATGATACATTTCATTACGTGTTTTTTCTTTGACTCATTTCTTACTGAAAATTTAAACATAATTATAACAATAGTTCAAAATAAGTCATGATCTTCAACTGTATCATTATTCTGGAAAACTGTAAAAAAAAATCTAACGGAATTCATATTAAATGCTCCCAAGT